CATCCACTGATACACATACAATAGTAATGCTAATCTACTCGGTCTTCTCCATTTGGCCACAGGTTCTCATCCACATCACATCTTATGTCATCTAGGGCTCGCCCCCTCCCAGCCACTTCTCCATTTCTGGCTGGGTCCATGTTTACATCACAAAACAAACCTATTCAGCAGTTGTCTCCTTTTGTAATGAAATTGAAGAAGTAACACCTGTGTAGATGTTCATCTACAATGAGAATCAGCTGTGGCTGGTTAAACTGCATTTTTAGATTTAAAATATGTTTCAATAAAATATTGCTGTTGAATTTTGCTGTCTTATTCAGTTTTGCATTATGTTATTGTTTTGACCATAAGTTTAACAGTTTTGAAAACTGTATGTAAGTACATGCAAAATGTCCTGTACGTACAAAGATTTTTGGCAGTTGTTGTGTCTGAGTGAGAAAATAATTCATGAAATTTGAGAGATGTAGTCATTGAATGCATTTTGTGCCAAAACAATGATAACTGATCCTCAGTTTAGCCCACATAGACTTCTGTTGTGCTCACTGTGTGAGGAGTTTTGCAAAAGTGACCTAAGTATTGAGAAATGTGTCCTAGCGTCTGTAAAAAACTGTAATAACAGGCACTGAAAACAGCAGTTGCAACGGGATGGGGAATATCCCCTGAGCAACTATTGCTTATGTCTCCTTCCTCTGCTTCTTTTACTGCAATAGATGCTTGACGTCTGAGCATTGAGTAGATAACCACTTTATTTATGAAATTCTGATCTGGTTTAACCAAAATAATAGACAACAACGATTGCACATCTTACTGGTGTTTTTCAGCTAAAATATCATTTCACATGAAACTCACACTGATGTCATCAAGCTCATCCTGCGCTTCACAAAGAATCTGTCCCTCACTCACTTTTATCTCCTCTCTTTTCCCTGATCTCCTGATGGGACAACGATCAGAGCAGATGGTTGTCCCTTCCTGCTGGAGGTTTCTTCCTGTCAAAAGGGAGTTCTTTCTTCCCGCTGTTTCCAAGTTCTCACTCATCAGGGACTGTCTGATTCTCTCTACTACATAGGGTTATATATAAAGCATCTTATAAGAACTGTGGCTGTGAACTGGCATTATACACATCCATCAGCTCTCTTAACTGCTTATCTATTTCAGTGCTGGATCCCATCCTAGTTGATTTTACCGTTTCTTGAAATAAACACATTCTATAAAATAAATAAATGCAAACTGATCAAAAGAATGTGATGATTTCAAACGGGTAAAAAGACCCAAATGCAGACTTCAGAGTTGAAAGACATTTTATTAACCAGCCTTACAGTTTTGTACCAATTTAACTGCAAGGCTGGAGGAGTGGGTAGGCAGGTTACAAAGTTAAAAGTCCAAATCCCATTTGGTCCAAAAGAAGGAGTTCCAGACAGGTTCAAAATAGCACAACAAGAAATTTTCCTATTCAACTAAATAAACTTCTTAAACCTAAAACAAGGCTGTAAGGAGGCTGAATGGTGGGCTTTTCATTTGCTTCCACGGTTAGTGGTATCCCAGAGCCTCCTTTTCTTTTAGATGAATAAGGAAAATCCTTGAGAGTGAAGATGAGTATGAGATACACACAAAGAAACTGAACCCTAATTTAAGGAGTAGAATGTCTTTAAGTACTGTGCTAGACGAGAAGGTGAAGACAAGCCCATGCAGCCCATGACCCATGATGGGAGGAACACCAGGCTGCAGACTGATGACAGAAGAGCATGACGGGTCCTTCACACATACCTCTATGCTTCTGTGTCACAGCAGGCTTTGATCAGGCCATTGCCCCTCAGTCTCCAGAGTTTGCATCCTCCAGATGCCTCTGGTTTGACCACATCTTCAGCATCCCTCTGTACGCAACCTTCACGCCCCTTTTAAAATGGACTATATTTTATACGGCATCACTTGAAGCAGGAACTTTTCCACTTAACTGCAACCTATTTGTGAAAGCCCATATGTGACGATTGGTTTATGTGTGTGTGTTTTTATTTTATTTACAGTGTGTCTGAAATCTTTGTCATGCTGAAAAATCAAGCCTTTGCTAATCAGATGCTTTTCATGCATGCTGGAGCAAAATCTGACAACACTTTTCCTTGTTGATTTTATATGTTTAGACTAGATTCACAACGCAGCTGGCTGAAATGCAGCCCCAAATCATGACAGAGCTTCCACCATGTTTTACAGATGACCATAGACACCCACTGTTGTACCCTTTTCCATATGTATTGATGATTTGAACCAAAAACTTCATATTTAGATTCATGACTCCATTAGACCTGTTAACCCTGATTTTCAGTCCATTTCTTGTGTAATTTGGAATCCCTCAGCTTTTTCTCCCTGCCTCCCATCCTTAAGGATGGCTTCTAGACAGCCACCTTTCCACTGAGACCATTTCTGATGAGGCTTCAGTGAACAGAAATTGGTTTAACTGAAGGGCCATAGGCATCTCTCAGGTCTTTGCTAGATTTGTTTTCTGGTTTCTTAAGGACATGAGTTTCAAATACTGTTCATCTTCTGTAGGTAGTTTGTAAACTTGCAACACTTTTTGTTTCATTTGTCCTGTTTCCTCAGATGAAATATGCCAAGTTTTCAGCTAACACATGTAAAGATATTATTTTACGCCTATTGAACTGTGTTATCTTTGGAATTTTTTGTAGATTAACCTAAAGAAATTGAAACAAATTATGTGTTTTTGTGCCAAGTACCAAAAGATAGAAAAAGAGGGAAAAATAAGACTCCATTGGAACCTTTGGAACAGTCTGTAGAAGTGACACTTGGTTATTTGTTTGAAAGGTCTGAAAAGGCTTTTGAAGATGTATGTGTAAATGATGGGGTTGAGTAAGGGGTTGGAATAATCTAGCCAGGTTTTTGAATATGCCTGTAAGGACTTTGGTCTTATTTTACTTTGTGTCCACATTCGTCTGGTGGTTTCATTATTAGCTGCTATGGAGTTCCCGTATAGTTGTGTTACCACCAGTATGTACCAGCATTTTAACAAAAGGACACAAAGACATACTTCCCTGATTACACACTGAAGTTTTTAATGTCTTGACAGAGCACAGCAGTCCTGCAGGTTAAAGTCACCTTTCCATCCACATCAGTCTAAACAAGACGCAGGACCTGATCGCTGCAGGACTTTCACACATTCAGCCCGCCCCTCGCTGCTATTCTACACACAGAAGGACAAGAAAAGCAAAAGCCCTCTGCTGCAAGCCAAAGTATTCAACAGCCTGCAGTTGCCCATATACATCATTGTATTATATATTTTTTGTAGTTTTTAAAACATTACTTCCTTATACATATACTCATTTTGTCATAATTTAAATATTCAGCGGTTTCATACACTAAATTCCCTAGATAGTGAAAGTTCAATAAGATGCATCACACATATACAGAATAACACAATAAGATATGTCCATAATAAACTATTTACCATTAAATAAGAAGAAGAATATGCTTAGTTGTGTTTACTTTGCAGTTGTGGAGTACCAGATGCACAAGGAATGAATAGTAGATTATTGTTTGTGGCTGGTGGGATGTTTTTTGCTTGGGTTCAAAAATACAATACACCACATCACGCTGACAGTGGAGGTCAGTGGTAGAAAAGGTGGTGGGTTTGCACGGGTCACAGGTTCTCACACGTGTAAAATGACAGGGTGAAAGAGAAGGAGCTTTTTCATTTAATGCCAGTTTTATGCATAGACTGTGGCTGTTTTTGAGTGTGCTCACTCACCCCCGTGACCACTGGAAAAAAGACAAAACCAAACAAAAAAAATGGGAAAAGGGGGGAAAAGAGAAGAAATTGCAAATCATCAACTGACTTAAAATTCTGAATGTTTTCACACGGCAAATATTCCTGTTTTCCCCGTCTGAATAAAAAGGATATGTAAAGAGCTATCTAGCTAACAGTCACAGAGCTTCAACCCAGGCCAAAGACTCCCTTCCTCTCAGGTTGGAGTCTTGTGTGTCCTGCAGTTGTCTGAAGCTGCACATTTGCTTAAAGATAATGCAGTAACAACATTTGTGTGAAGCAGAGAGCAAGAAAGACACGGGAGAGGCATCTTTTTTTTTTCCTTTTACGTCAGTTGTTGCATAGGTCGTGTGGAAGCACAGACAACAGCAGTTTTAAATCGCAGGTGGATGTAACAGTGACACTGAGGGCCTTCCTGAGGCTACAACGGGCAGTTCCTCCCGTCCTTCAAGGCTGAAATGAAGAGGAGGAGGAAAAATGGACGAAGAGCAGCAGCGTCTATCTGAGGGTGAAGAATTTGCAGGCGATCCTTTACTTCTGTTATTCATTCAAGCCTTCCTCTCCTCGTGTGAGTGAGTGAGTGATGGGTGGATGGATAAATGCAAGATGAGCGTAAGAAGGAGAAGAGGTAACAGGGAGAATGTTTCCTTCTAAGAGTCGAATGGTGGCAGGGGGCTCTCGGGACGAGAGGGCCCGCCCTTGTTTGACCGGCTGTTTAGGTGATGGGAAAGAAGAGAGAAAATAAAAAGACGATCTTATTTGCCAGGATGAAGAGATTAAAGATAACAAGAGAAAGCCTAAAATCGTAATGGTTAGGAGGCACCAGAGAAATGACGATGTTCACCTCCAGGGTGAGGGGGATATTATTGCTTTGCCACCAGTTAGTAATGTGTAGCCACGGGTTATTCCGGCATAGGAATTATGTAATTAAGATGTGGTCATGAGATATCATGTGGTAAGATTACATTTTTGAATAATGAATCGCCTGACAACCAGATGAATATTAAAAATCATCAAGGAAATAAAATCCAGCTCTTCTTTTAAACTATGCATGATGGTTAACAGATTACCGAGGCCAAACATTAACAACTAGTGGCTGTTTAGTTAGCAATAATATTTTACAGCCACGTGAGAAACAGGTCAACTTTTACAACAATGCTAATGGTAATGAAAACCATGATTTGCAGGGTGTGAGACAGACCTCCTCTTTCACGGTTTGTTCTTTATAGTTTAGCTCACAAGCAGACTTGATTAAAGTCAGTCGCCTTCACACACGAATATGGAAAACTGCCATAACACATTAACTCAAAATCTGAATAGTGCAGTGAGAAGACACCAGAGTTATAAAAAAGTCCAGCTTGCATCACCTCCCTTATGAAATACTTTATCCATCGTCACTTCTGCTGATTGAAACATTTTCTGCCTCTTACTTTAACTCCGAGGCTGAAATGCTGCAGAGGAACTAAAGCATTTATCCCTAATTTTTTTTTTTTTTAAGGGAAATTCCTTAAAAAAGGAAGAAAATAAATAAACATGAAATAAAAGAACAATTGATGAATGAGAGAATAATAAGAGTGAATACTTATTAGAAATACTCAGGCATAGCTTCATGCTAAATGTTTACCCTTTTAGTTTAAAAGCAGGAAAAATGTTTCCATGTTTAAGTGTTTGCACGTGTTTACTAGACTGTATACTGCGTGCGTGCACACGCTAACTGATTTGCTTCATCAGTCTTTACATAGTTTGAGTTCTCAGGGTGCAGCATGTTTGTAAGTCATGCAAGTGTGATTCAAGTATTCTGCGTCACTGTATGAGGGAGAGAGGTGAAGAAGAGGAGGAGGGAAAGAAGAGGAAGCGAGGGAGAAGCAGGAGCTGGGAACCAGCGCAGGTCAGACGAGGCAGAAAACGACAGGAGGGTGGCGCTGTTGTCTGTGGCCTCTCATCCAGGGGAGGATTAAACGGAGGAGGAGGGGAAGGACGGAGGAGCCAGGGAGTCTAGTGGGTTGGAGATGGCGGGGGTCTCCGACTGCCGTGGACACACAAGCACAAAGGAGAGACTGGATTAGTGCCGTTGCTCCCTGTTGACAGGTTTACAGCCCCCATGTGTACATTCATGCACAAACACACAGAAATACTGTATCTTCAAGTAACACATGGAGGCAGTCCAAAAATACAACCAACGTGACAAAGATTTGAAGCTCAGTTAAGTGAAGGCGGTGTTCCTGCACATCCAGCTGCTGTTTATCTACAGTAACGTGCAGTTTGTTCAGTTGTAGTTCTGCTACAGGAGAGCAAATCCACTGATAGGCATTAAAGTTTTAAGCAGCAGTTGTTGCTGATTGAAGGGAAGATTAAACTGATTGTCAAACAGCCTCTGAAACAGAAGTTGACTTGTACAAATGCAAAGTGTTTGCTTGAAGGTAAACATGTAAGCAAATATGAATGGGTGACATTTTAGAAATGCAGATCTACTCTCTTATTCCCAGTTAGGGCAAACCATCCTTTATTCACTCCATAATTTAGTCAAACATCTTTGCACTCTGTACCATTGCACATATGATATACATGTTGGTATTGCCTGTTTGTCGATTCTCTTAAGTACGATGCTATGCCGGGTCAGTGAGTGTTACCAAGACATTCACAAGGTTTGCAGATTTTGCCAAATACGATGAAAATTATAACAAAGACAATGGCAGATATGGCTCAAAAGAAATATATGCCCATTTACAGTTACATTCAAACTACAACTCAAAAACTGTTAACAGACAGTACAGCAGCCGAAACAACAGTAAAATAATGGAGAATATAGGAGTATATATTGCACTGTATAGCATCCATCGCCTGAGACCATGAGAACGAACTTTGGCTTCCTTTTATTCCTCTTTTCTTAGCGAGAAACTTGGAAACATTGTGTTCAAATACAATTTATCTGGCCACCTCCCAGCCCTGCATTATGACTGCATCCCACTTTGTCCCACACACAAACTCAGAGCTTAAATCATCTCAAACTGGTTTCCTAACGTGAGAATAGGAAACTACTGTACTCAAATAACCTCAACAGTCACAGTCTAGTGTCTGATCTTTTTGCAAAGCTAGCTGGGATTGCTGATGGCAGCTTATACAACTTATTCTCCAAAAAGGTTTTTCTTAAATCTCATTATCATTTATAAATGAAGATATGGCTTGTACTTACCAAGTGCTCTTAAAGGTAATACATTTGTTAGTTAAACTATAGAGTATTTACTTAAAAAATAAATCACCAGTAGGGCTACTCCACATTAACTAAATCCTGCAAAGAAAAGTGATTTTGGTAAACAGAGCATCGTGTCACTAAAAGAAAGCATCAGACACATCGATATAAGCAGGTATGGGAGGGATTTTGTGGCATACACACATATACAACACAGCACCAACATTAGTTAGGTCCCGGACATCTGAGCGAGTCTTCTTGGCCTACACCGGGGGTGTCCAACTCCAGGCCTCAAGGTTTTAGATATCACCCTGGGTGAACACACTTGAATCAAATGATTCATTCATTACCAGGCCTCTGGAGAACTTCAAGACATGCTGAGGAGGTAATCTAGCCATTTAAATCACCTGTGTTGGATAAAGGATACATCTAAAGCCTGCAGGACACCGGCTCTCAAGGCCTGGCGTTGGACACCCCTGTCCTACACTGACAAAATGTCCTCTTTTGGTGCTCTTTACAGACAGAATAACATCAGACTGAGCTTGAATTGAGCTCAAGCCACTGATGCAAACATGCAAACACACACTCTGCGCCGGGTGTGTGTTTGCTCATGCAGCCCTCTGAGAAAACAGTGGTGAGAAAAAGAAAATGTCATGCAGTGAAAGGGATGTCAAAGGAGCTTGCAAAGAAAAGCGTCTGGACTTCTTTAAGTTACTTGAAGACGTTTCACCTCTCATCCGAGAAGCTTCTTCAGTTCT